GCTTGCGGTCGGTCATTCGCGCGCGGAGCTTCCCCGTGTCGAACATGGCCTGCTTGGCTGGCAGGTCGAGGCCGTAGGCGAGGGAGAGCTGGTCCTCGGACGGCGCCAGCTTGGCCCTCCCTCCTTCGCTGCCTGGTCGGCGAGCCTGCTGCCCGCCCTTCGCCACCTGGTAGTGCGATCTGCCTCTGCGTCCGCTGCAGACGCGTGGGCCAGCGCCTTAGTGACCGTGTAGCTGCGGCTGTCGTCGAAGGCGGTGTAGAACGCGTTCCGCAGGTGGGCCCTCGACAAACCTGAGCGGCATGCCCATGCCGCGCCCTTCTGGGCGCAGGCCACTGTGGCGGCGCAGTCCGTCTGGACGTCGACGTGGCCCGTGCAGAGGAAGGCCGCCATGCGGCACGCGTAGTCCTCTCCATCCCGCGTCTCCTGCCGATGAGGCATTGGAGAGCGGGGCCCACCCCCGGGCGGCGGCCTCCAGGCGCCCTTGACTGTCGCACTGCACTGGCGACCAGCCCGCGCGCTAAAGCTCGGGCCATCTGGTGCCCACCGCGCTGCCGTCGGTGAAGATGAGGCCCTTGAGGAAGCCTGAGGCAGGCCGCCTGCGCCAATGCACGGACTCGCCCTCGGGGTCGCGCCGCGAGATGATGCGGTCGGGGGACGGGAACTATCACCTGCTGAACATCTCCCCGCATGTGCCTCCAACGTCACGCGCCGCCTCGGCGTGCAGTAGAAGCTCCAGAGATGCCTCCGCGCGTCGGAACTCCGCCTGGCCGCCGCGACGACACGCTCGATGCCACGCTGTGCCTGGGGCCGCTCTGCAACGCAGGCAGGCCCAGTCGGGGGCCATGCAGCGTCTGGGTGAGGACCGTGCCCGAGATGACCGGGTGGAGGGCCGCCCTCCGGCGGCGCCCCCAGCCGCCGGACTCCTTGGCCTTCTCAGGCCTCCGCAGCGCGTCCAAGAAGAGGCGGGAGCTCTGGCGCGGGTAAAGCTTGTTGGTGGCGTCTCTGCCGGACCACCTCTTGGCTGACTCCTCAGCCAGCTCCTTGCTGAAAGTCGGCGGAACACTGGCCAGGTCGAACCCAAGCCCGAGGTCCGTAGTCACGGTCCTACTGTCGGCTATGGTCCAACCCAGCCTGCAGATGGCGATGTAGAGCGCTGCAACAGGATCTCTGCACGTGGATTATGGCCGCTAGGACTGCACGCGGCGCTCTCTGGCCTTGTCCAGCAGCGCGCTCAGCGCGTGCACGGCGGGGCAGCCGATCCAGAGCGCCATGCCGAGATGCTGCAAGACCTGCCCCGCGTTCACGACAGCGGGGCCCCTCTCGATGCCCTTGGGGAAGCAGCGCAGCCTCAGGCCGACCGAGGCCCCTGCCGCGAAGGGCCCTTCGCCGCGGACCGCAGCCACGCGCAGCCCGCGCAGGACTGAGGGTGCCAGGCCCGTCGTGGCCGAGCTCCAGGTGGCGGCTGCCGTAGGCCCTCCCCTCTGCACTGTGGCGACCTTGGCGCCTGCTGATCGTGGGACTTGGAGTCGTCTGGAGCACGCCGGGGCACCATCGACACGCTGGGCCGCGATGGCGGTGGACCTCCAGCGCCCGTCGCGCACGTCTTTGCCGAGGAGCCTGCCTCGGTCAGCTCTGCCGTCGGTGGGCGGCCACTCCGCCTCCAGCTTGTTGGCCGCGTCAGCGTCGGGGGTGAGGTAGCTCAGCTTGCCGAAGTGGACGGGGGCCCGCTTCTCGTCGAAGCAGGCCAGGAGGGTGCGCGCGGCTGGGCCCAGGACGGCCTTGACCCTGCCCGTGGCCCCGACCGTCTGCAGGGCGAAGTCGCCAACGACGCTGCCCAGTCTCGCGCTCGGGTAGAGGGCCGTAGCCTTCTTGAAGGACATGTAGAGCAGGAGCTTGGCGATCACTGTCGCGCAGGAGGATCCTGCAAGCGCAGTGCCCGTTGCTCGCAGATGCGCGCTGCATGCTCCATCCACCGTGATGGCCCTGCAACCCGAATGCAAGACGCAGCGTGCCTTGAGCAGTCTGGCTGGGAAGCCAGTGGCCTGCGCCTCGAAGAAGAGCTCCTTGTTGCTGAAATTCTCGTAGAACTTGCGTAGGTCGTCTAGCGCCGTGCCCGCGCTGTGCTTCTTCTCGTACGCCGGGGCCGTGAGGATCTGGTGGGCCCAGCCTGCCCTCTCGCACGTGTTGAGCTCTCCTCCGATGTACCAGGCCTCGCGGTGCTGCGCGCCCCAGCGCCTGACGATGGACCCTCTCATGGCCGACCAGAGGCGAAGCTGTAGACAAGTGAGCGCAATCGGCCCCCTGCCTCCGCCTCGCTTGGCACGGGAGACGATCGCCGATGGCCAGCCGAGGTAGGCCGTGGGGGCGCCCTCCCAAGCTGGCCAGGACGTCGATGATCCTGTGCAGAAAGGAATCGTCTAGGAGGAGCAGGTGTCGCGGCTGCAGCTGATCCCACCCCAGGCTTGCCCAGCGACCGTGCCTCTTGAGCGAGAAACTGAAG